CATTGTCTTTTTGAGCTACCATGGAGAAAAAAGTTAATTGTTTAAGAGGTTTCTCACTAAGGCGAGTCCATGAATCTTGGACTCATGAAAATCTGTCTGGAGTCTCTGGACTCATCATTTTCAAAACAAGCCAGTCCAAAGATGCATCAAGATTGTAAAATGTTGTATCAACTGAGCACAAATATCATCATTTTATGACAAAAGTTTAAAAATAATCTAAACTTCATGTCTTTTCCTTGCTTTATTTTGTCATGGGGACTAAATTGATAAATCATATAGCAATAAAGTTTCATCTTCTCACTGTTGGACTCACCATGGCCGAAAATGATGAGTCCCTGGACTTGTCTTCAAAATGCCTTAGTGAGAACACTGTGTTTACCTTATTTTAGCAAATTTTTAGCAAATATCAATCTGATAAAGTATCCCATCCCTACCCTCGTGAGATGACAGTTCAATAAAAACCAAATTCTAAACCTTTAAAAAGGCATAAAGACAAACTGTTCAAAAGCTTATAACTAGAGGCTCTAAAGATCCTGTGTTGCTCACCTTGGTCTATGGGAATATCAAACATTAAGCACACTCTCCAACATTGTAGACGAGAATAGACTTTTCATGACAAAAATCTCTATTTTGTTGATCTTGTATTACTGATCTTTTAGTCTGTTTAGTTTCTTTGACTTATTAAAAGATCTTGCCTTGCTGATCATTTTTTTGACTTATTAAACGATCTTGCCTTGCTGATCATTTTTGTTTTTCAAAGTGTTTATTTTTCTATTATAATTTAAATCATATGAGGCATAACAGAAAAATAAATTGGGAATGTGTCCATGGGACACAGATGATGCCCCCGCTTGCATATCATATAAAGTTATAAAGGGACATAACTAAAGAATGGTAAAAGTGACGTTACCCAAATTTGTACTTGATCTGAGTTTTGTGGTAATAAGTATTGTGTATAAGTTTCATAACATTTGGTTGAGGCAAACTAAAGTTAGAGAACGGAAACCAACTTTGGGACGTACGTACGTAAGTATGTACGAATGGACGGACAAGGGTAAAACTTAATGCCCCCTCCACTACGGCGAGGGCATAAAAATGTTTCTCTCTGAATATCATAGTTTTCATGATAATGGGCAAAAATGAAGAAAAAAAAAACGTAAAATTTGTCATTTATGGGCCATAACTCCAATAAGAATTTGTCTAACAGTTTTGACATATATGGACAATTGGTAGAACTCATTATTCTGAACATATTTGTTGCTTTCAGATTTTCTCTATTTATAACGGTTCAAAAAATAATAGACAAAACTTGCATTTTACCCCTATGTTCTATTTTTAGCCATGTCAGCCATGTTGGTTGGTAGGCGGGGTCATCTGACACATTTTTTTTATCTACATACCTTGTTGATGAGTGTGGCCAAGTTTGGTTAAATTTGTCTCAGTAGTTTCAGAGGAGAAGATTTTTGTAAAAGATTACAAAAATTTACAAAAAATTGTTAAAAGTTGACTATGAGGGCAATAACTTCTAAAGGGTTCAACTGACCATTTTGGTCATGTTTGACTTATTTGTAGATCTTACTTTGCTGAACAATTTTGCTGTTTACAGTTTATCTCTATCTATTATAATATTCAAGATAATAACCAAAAACTGCAAAATTTCCTTAAAATTACCAATTCTGGGGCAGCAACCCATCAACAGAATGTCTGATGCGTCTGAAAATTTCAGGGCAGATAGATCTTGACCTGGTGAACATTTTTATTCCATGTCAGATTTGCTGTAAATGCTTTAGTTTCAGATATATAAGCCAAAAACTGCATTTTACCCCCATGTTCTATTTTTAGCCATGGCAGCCATCTTGGTTGATGGACAGGGTCATCAGATACATTTTTAAACTAGATACCATAAGGATGATTTAGGCCAAGTTTGGTTCAATTTGGCCCAGTAGTTTCAGAGGAGAAGATTTTTTGTAAAAACTTACAAAAATTTACGAAAAATTGTGAAAAATTGACTTTAAAGGGCAATAACTCCTAAAGGGGTCAATTGACCATTTTGGTCATGTTGACTTATTTGTAGATCTTACTTTTCTGAACAATTTTGCTGTTTACAGTTTATCTCTATCTATTATCTGATTATAATATTCAAGATAATAACCAAAAATTGCAAAATTTCCTTAAAATTACCAATTTAGGGGCAGCAACCGAACAACCGGTTGTCTGATGCATCTGAAAATTTCAGGGCAGATAGATCTTGACCTGGTAAACATTTTTACTCCTGTCAAATTTGCTCTATATGCTTTAGTTTCAGCAGCCGGTTGTACGAACGTTGCATTAGCCTAATGGGTCATTAAGTCTTCATCAAGCCTTTATGATGCATTAGGCTAATGAAGACTTAATGAGTTATTAGACTAATGACACGTCCGTACAACCGGCTGCAGAGGTATAAGCCAAAAACTGCATTTTACCCCCATGTTCTATTTTGAGCCATGGCAGCCATCTTGGTTGATGGGCGGGGTCATCAGATATATTTTTTACACTACATACCCTAAGGATGATTTAGGCCAAGTTTGGTTTAATTTTGCCCTGTAGTTTCAGAGGAGAAGATTTTTGTAAAAGTTAACGGACAACGACAGACGACAGACGACGGACGACAAGTGATGAGAAAAGCTCACTTGGCCCTTTTGGGCCAGGTGAGCTAAAAATTAAACCCATGAATTTGATAGTTGAATCACCAACAACAAAAACATACCATCATAAATTTTTTTTTAAACAATACCAATACTGTTTCCAAAAAGATAAATGGGGAATGTGTCCATGGGACACAGATGATGCCCCCGCTTGCATATAACATTATTAAGGGACATAACTCAAGAACCATAGAAATGACACTACACAAATTTGTACTTGATCAGAGTTTTGTGGTAATAAGCATTGTGTATAAGTTTTATACCATTTGGTTGAGGCAAACTTAAGAAAGAATACGGAAACAAAAAATTCAGCAATTTTTCCTTTTGTAAAGGGCATAACTCTAGAATGGTAAAAGTGACGCCACCAAAATTCAAACTTGATCTGTGTTTTGTAGTAAGAAACATTGTGTATAAGATTCATAACATTTGGTTGAGGCAAACTAAAGTTAGAGAACAGAAACGAAAAATTCAGTGATTTTTCTATTTGTAAAGGGCATAACTCTAGAACGGTAAAAGTGACGCCACCAAAATTCAAATTTGATCTGTGTTTTGTGGTAATAAGCATTGTGTATAAGTTTCATTACATTTGGTTGAGGCAAACCAAAGTTAGAGAACGGAAACCAATTTTGGGACGTACGGACGGACAAGGGTTTTAATGCCCCCCTCCGCAACGGCGGGGGCATAAAAATGCTAACAGTAATACAGTTACATGTGTATGTGGGCTAAATGAGTCTTTTCAGTATAAAAAAAATCATTATTTTGACACTTTTATGCATCTAAAAACCAAATGAATTTTTCATGTAGAAATATACATGACATACACTTACATAGTTTTTTAAAATATGTTTAGAATATGAAATAAAGCAAATGCCCATAATAAATCTGTGCAACACAATCAAACTGTAGAAAAAACAGGTAACAAGAATTTGTTAATAAAAACATTTTTGTAACTTTCTTCAAGTGTATATATATATATACCTGATCAGTTGTTGTTTCATGTCATTTCTTGTTTATTTTTGGGGTGAATTTGGTCTTTGCATATATTTTTATTAATTAATTTTTTAGACTTGGGCATGTCAGAAAAAATTCAAAGCTTGAAATATATATGATATAGCCACAGGTCTTGTTGTTTCCTATTTTTCGTTTATTTGTTTCATTGGGTTGCTGTCTCATACCCATTTACCCCACATCTATTTTGCATTTAATAATTACAAATAAATTTATAAAAATCGAGAGAAAAAAAAAAGATGTACATGCAGACTTAACAAAAGATTATCAATACAGTATATTTTAAGCCAAATCAGATACATATAAAACAAATACGATGTCGCCTGCCAAATGAAAATTACAAAGACAATGAATAAAATGTGTTTGCTTTGTTCATGCTGGTAATTAAGGACATTACTATGAAAATGACAGGACATTATTACTGACCTACATAAAACTTTAGTGTAGAATACAAATAACAGAACAAAAATACAAATTCAGCAATAGCTTAAATTATACCATGCAAATTTTCAACAGGATTTAAAAAAAAAGACATTTAGCTTTTTTAACTTTGTCATAATGACCAATGGTTAAATAGTTGTATTGAGGGATGAGCAGTTATTTGAGAGTTTTCTTGTTTAAAAAATAAATAAAAAAACTGACTAAGCAAAGCTGTTACTTGTAAATATACATATCTTTGTAGGGGAATTTATTTTTTAAATTTTGTAGGGGAATTTATTTTGAAATTCAAACGACAAAAAATAATTTTCATAATATTTTGGAAAAGTAAGAAAGAAATAAACAATTCCTCTTTTGATAAGACCATGAAAGTAAAATGAAAGATACTTCCATGATAAGACACATGAACATTGTTGAGCAACATGAAAGAGGGTGTGGATGGGGGGGTCCTTGATTTCTGTATTCTTTAATTTTTTCACTCATTATTCTTTATCTTTAAAAATAATAGCCATTCTAAAATTACTTGATAACTGTGTTCTGGACATTGTCCTCTTTTGTAATCAGTCAGTATAATTTTACCCAATTCTTAAATTTTTGCAGTTATTCTTTATATTTTACATTTGTTAGCACCCCATTATTCTCTATTCTTTATTTTTTTTGCCCATTATTCTCTATTCTGCAAACCCCATCCATATCCTCATGAAAGATATTTTGTTTTGAAAATTTCATTCACAAAAAAAGGGGAAGGTCTTCCTAGTAAATTATAGAAACACCAAAAACCGAACCTGTGAGAAAACCCCTAGACCAGGAAATACTTTTTATGCCTATTGATTGGTGACCTCATTAGCCAATCAAATAAAAGATACTAACCTGCTGCAGTTTAATTATTTCTTCCGGATCTGTAGAAGCCCCTTGCAAAAGAGAACGCAGTCTTTTATTTTCTCGAGCTAAATTGTCCAAAACTTGTTTAGATGAGCCTGGAATAAAAACGTCCCCTTCTCCCAAGGTCATTCCGTCTGAAATTCCATTCATAGATAACCGCGACTGCAAATTTCTCACAACCGTTTCAAGAGCGATATTCTTTTTCTGATAAGCGGCATTTTCTTCTCTGGATTCATGCAATAATCTGGATACAGTTTCTACTCCTTCTCTCCGTATTTTCTGAGCTTGAATCTCTTGTTTATATTTTTGAATCATAAGTTTCATATGCTCAACTTTTTCTTTGTAAGAATCCCGTTCTTGTTCAACACTAAGCGTCATCAGTGACGATTCTGGCGACGAAGATTTTTGGCTCATTGTGATTGATGATAAATAATAATAAATAATTAATTTAAATTAATAACTCTAATTCTCGAAAGTCGTTTCATAACAACCGTACACTCCTATACAATAAGTCAATATTCAACAACTTGATATACCAACTTTTTAAGTTAAGGTCTTCGCAAATTTCCTTTTTCCACTAAAATTCGGGAATAGCACGCAGTTTCTCTTCTAAGTATACTTCTTTTATCACACATAAACACGTATCAACACATGAAAAGGTATGAACAACTGCACACTCATTTTCTCAATCCTTTAATTAGAACAGGGGAATTCCCCTTGTCTATCCAATAGTCTATTCTAAATAAATGATTGGGGTATAGTATATTTCAGTAAACAGGACAAACACGGGAATTTACAGAAATTTTACTGGCGACAACAAAACTTCCGTACAGGATGAAAATAAGAAAATTACGATTGTTGAAATTTGGGGAATGTGGCCCCAATTGATACAATAATCGAGTGCAAAAAAAAAGAATGATTGACAATATCAATTTTTCTTCAGGACGAATACAGTATGGCACTAGATAGTTGGGAAATATCCTGCAAATGCCAAATAAGGATATCTAATACGTCACTTTCAGGGAGCCAATCGGAGATGCAGATACTTATGCATTATGGTGAAGCTGTAATTAAGATGGCAACGGTCCTGCATCGAAACCCCTGGGGTTTTTAGCGGTGCCAAGTCATCAGAAGGAGAACAATAAGGTATTTTAGTGGCAGAGGAAACTAACAGTCATAATTTTATACGACCGCAAAAATTAAAAATTTTTTGGTCGTATATTGGTATCACGTTGTCGGGTCCCGGTAAAGTGAGAAACGGAACAGAAACGAAACAGAGCGAAACGAAACGAAACAGAGCGAAACGAAACGAAACATGGCGAAACGAAACGAAACACAGCGCAACGAAACGAAACATGTAAATTGAGAAACGAAACACAACGAAACGAAACAAAATCTGTATTTTGAGGAACGACCTATAGAAAATCTTCCTGACGAGATATGTGCATAGCCGAAGACACCGAATATTCCATTCAACTTTGAAAAAATTACTCTTCATTTACATTGGTATCTTCGTGCATTAGTTGCAATTAGTCAACTTGTTTTGTTAAATGTGAGGCTTAGGTGCGTCAGCTATGCTACAGAGCCTGTTCTTATATCAAGGCTTCTTGTCACGTGCAACAATGAGGGAACATTGAAATTAGAATAGCTGTTACTGTTACAGGGATCGTCTGAATATCAGCCTCAAACAAAATTGGCCATTCTTACCTTTGTGACTAGGATTTTTATGTACCGCCTACGGTAGTGGGGCATAATCTTTTCTGGTCTGTGCTGCCGTCCGTCAGTCCGTCCGTCCGATACTAGGTTTATTCTGTTTGTTAAGATAGATTAAATTACAATGGAGTTGTGTTCATGTCAACTTGAATCTACACATGTTCATTATGACATGTTCTTTTTGAAATGTATGCCAAATTAGGAATTTGAACCATAATTTGCGATTCAATGAACATGAAAATTTGATATTTTAAGCGAGTCATACTGTCCTATGGATACTTAACACATGACATAAGTAAAATCTCTTTGTTCTTACTGTGCTATAATCTGGATAATGCACAGCAAATGTGTGCATTTACTACCTCAGATATACTGCACAGTTCAAAAGTACTCTTACCTTTTGGGGCGGACCCTCGATTTTGAAAGGAGTGTAATTCCATATAAAATTTTAAAAATATCATCGAGTGTACATGTAGCGAATATAAAAAAGAAGATGTGATATGATTGCCAATGAGGCAACTCTCCACAAGTGACCAAATGACATAGTTATTAACAAATATAGGTCACCGTACGGCCTTCAACAATAAGCAAAGCCCATATCGCATAGTCAGCTATAAAAGGCCCCGAAATGACGTACAAATGTAAAACAATTCAAAAGAGAAAACTAACGGCCTAATTTATATACAAAAAATGAACGAAAAACAAATATGTAACACTTCAACAATTGACAACCACTGAATTACAGGCTCCTGAGTTGTGACAGGCACATTCATACAGAATGTGGCGGGGTTAAACATATTAGCGGGATACCCCCTAACCTGGGACAGTGGTGTAACAGTACAACATAAGAACGAACTATAAAAATCAGTTGAAAAAGGCTTAACTCATCAGATAGATACAAATAACATACATCTAACAAAAACACAGAGTGGACGTGGCCGGGTACTTGTATATCCCAACAACAAAAAGACACTAAGTACTGATCTGAGAGTACTCGAAGTTACTGACAGCTAGTTCAAAGCCACTAACAAGTAATAAAAAAATCATGCATCTAAGACTAAATTATCAATCTGTATGCATCCAACATCCAATGGATTTAGTGTACAGACGTCATAAACAGTTAGAGGAAAAACACGACCTTGTGTAATGCCAAGATACAGGTATCGACAGATTGTAGATCCATGAATGTGTATATGAACTATATAACAATAATATTTAGTTTGCTTTTAATTTACTGACAACAAAATCAATATTGATACCAATAAAACAATTTTCAATGATCTAATTACAGTGTTGAATTGGTAGCCTTTTAGAATAAGTTTATTTCACGGATCGACAAGTTTACCAGGATCGTTTCTAAATTCCGGGCACGGTAAACAACATTCCCATAAAAATTAGGATGTGCTATCCCATTTGAACTTCAAAACCAAATCTTTATATCTATGGAAGAATTTAGTAAAGGTTTTAAGTAATTTGTGGTGATGAAATCCCTGGCTTAATAATTTACCAGTAATACATAGATTACGTTCGTTAAAATAAAAAAACGTCACAACAGACACGGGCATAGCGAACGAGTTGTGAAATTCAAACACCATAAGATGGTGCCAATGGAACATCACCATCCAAAAAGGGAAAAATAACAATCGGGAACGAAAAATCGTCCCTTTTGTCGTAAATTTCGGCAGTATATTTAGAAAATTCTTGATTTTTTAACGAAAAAATATCATCAAGATAAAGGTAAGTGTTGTTGAATTTATCAGTTAAATGCAATTTTGACGGGTCTTTACTTAGTGTCGTCATAAACTATGATTCATAACAGTACAAAAACAAGTCTTCTATTAAAGGGGCGCAATTAGTGCCCATTGGAATACCTACAACCTGTCGATAAACTTTGTTGCCAAAACGTACATAAATATTATCAAGGGGAAATTAACAGCTTCAATCATCTCATCCCACCTCCAGTAAGTATATCTAGCATAATTACCTTTCACATTAGAGAAGAAGGCTTTAAATGAATTGCAGCAAATATATTTGCATTCAGATTTACCAAACGACCATTTAATTAAATAAGAAAACTTTTGTTTGATAAGATTGTGTGGAGGTGTAGTGCAAAGAGTAGAAAATTCGCATTCAGATCTACCAAACGACCATTTAATTAGAGTAGAAAAGTCAAAACTGTCAACAGAATCCAAAAGACCATCAAAAACATCTAGTTTATTTAAATCATCCAATTTTTTTCACTCCAAAATAGACGATTTTATGCTAAAACATGATATGTTTTCCACTCAAAGGGTGGGACATAAAATATTTTATAATATTTTGTGTACAATGTACATCTGAAATCAGTGTTTCCCAGTCAAACCAGATAATAATAATTTTTTTTGTAATTTCTGCCGAAAAAGAAATGTACTTTAGAATATCCAAATAAATAAAATCTGATTTTGATTATAGTTTCGTGCTCAATGGAATTAATTACGACTATTTAGATATGTATGCCTTTTAAGTTTTGGGATCGAATTGAATGAGGAACATATTCAAGTTTGTATCAAAGCAGGTTTGGGGGATAAGCTACAGATCAATCGGATTTTGTTTAGAAGCGACATGTCTTTAAAATTTATACAGTAAAAAAAATGGAGGGAGGGGAAGTTAAAGATTGAAAAGTGTAACATTATTTTCTGTTTACATATTAATATTTTTAATTTAGGTACACCTCCACATGGGAAGGTCGACTATTCATATATATTATATATTAATAGAAACAAGTGTCTGTGTACATCTCTCTTTGGTTCATCTTCCTAGAATTATTGAGGGAATGAAAGACAATTAATCTATACACAATAACCAGTTTAGTTATGATTTTTCATGCACCGATTCTAAAGTACACTCAACGGAACTAAAACTGTATGAAATGTAGGTTACACGTCAATAAGACAGCAACCAAACGACAAGAACAAACTACGGACATCTAGAAGGCAACATATAGTATAATTTCAACAATAGATAGGTATCTACACAACATGTCCATTTCTAATTCGTCACTATAACATATTCTAGTTTGTATTCGTTTCTTCTTTGTTTTTAAGTTTCAAAGATTTTTTATTATGGCAGTCCATGACCATGATGACATTCTTCTTCTTTCATTTTGTTGCAAATCAGGCAAGACATAATCTCGTTTGATACAAGTTCAATTCATATTAACCTTTTAAACTACTTACAACAGGTACCATCGACTTCAACTGTATGGAGATGCCGTATGTACTTCGTAGCTTATCTTTTGAAAATGTGGTAGATACTATACCTAGTAACACGCGTCTGTCAAGATAAATGGCGAATAACAAAACACAATATTCGGTACCGTAAGTTTAAAAAAGAAAGTAGAACATGACGAGTCGAACATACAATATTGTATGAATAAAAGGAGAAAGGTGACTGTGCTCCAGTACCACTTTAGATCACAAGGTCACGATTAAAAATTGCCTCGGGTCACCAGGTCACTTTTAAGCAAACTATTCAGTTCTAAACTGATTTGATTCTCGGTTTAAACATTTGAAAAGTCACATGTACTTTCAAAAGAGACGTCAGGTCGCAACGTGGTCAATCCCCCCCTTTGACGTCCCAGGTCGGACTTGACAATGTTGTAGCCACATATAGGGTGAATGCATCCAACTTGAACATTTGGATCCTACTACCTAAAGTTATGTATGGCAAAGTGCCCATACCATTTACATATTTTGGCTATTGTTATTTCACTTGGGATACGTACATGTAAGTGTTTCATTCATGAATCAAATACCTTTCTTGGCACAAACTCATAAACAATAAATGATAAAAACCTATTGCAGATTATTGCATATACAATGATATTCACAGACGTGATCGAATGAAAAGTTATACATAATAATATATCATAATATTATTAATGATAACAATGTGTGGGACTATAAAGCATAGAAAAATACAAAGCACAATAGAACTGGTATGTAATGCGTTCTTTCTAGTGCGGCAATCA